CAAGTGGGTTGTCATCTTGCACTGCTCTTGAGGAGTTGACAATAGAACACTGTCATGATCTGATATCCATTCCAGAGGAATTGAGGAGCACCCCAGAGGAGGAGCTTTGCAACCTTCCTCGCTTGAAGAAGGTGTCTATTACATATATCTCAGAAGAGCTACAGGAATTTCCTCATTTACTCCTCCAGCCTTCCCTTGAAGAATTGACTTTGATTGGATGGAAAAAACTACAGCATTTGCCACATCGAATTCAACACTTAACTGCACTAAACACATTGTGGATCCAAGAATTCCATGAACTAGGAGCTTTGCCAGATTGGTTGAGAAACTTGTCCTCTCTTCGGAGTCTGCGTATTTTATTCTGCAAGTCACTGATGCAGCTGCCCCCTATGGAAGCCATGCGATGCCTCTCCAAATTAGATTCTCTTGAAATTTCAGGATGCACTGAGTTACAGTTAAAATGCGCCAAAAGAAGTGGTTCCGAATGGGACAAGATTTCTCACATTCCAACAATCATAATAGGCTGGGAATGGATCCAAGACCGAGGAGCTTCCAGTGAGGTAGTATTTCAACTTCAACTACACCTACAATATCCTTTTTTAATTCCTTCTTTCCCTGATTAATTTCAAAACTATATTTATATATAGTTGCAAATCCTTCTTCTTTTTTCTTTTTTCTTTTTTTTTCGAATTTATATATTCAAAAGCAAAGTTGAGGCTTCTCCAATCCATAATTTTTCCCCCCAGCAATGCAAATTCATGTTTTAAAATGTTGTATTAATTGCTCCATCCCAGTGCTCTATTACCATTTTAGATTTCTAACAGCTTATGATTATTATTCTTTTTTTCAGCGGCAGTCAGTAACTTCTCATTATGATGATGATGAAAACCAAATTGCAATAACCCCTACTTCTGCATCTGCTAACTACGATGCTGATGAAGGCCAAATCACAATGACTTCCGCTTCTGCATCTGCTAATTATGATGATGATGATGATGATGAAAGCCAATCAACTACGTGAAGGATGCCCTTCTTTGTTTTCTTTTTGCAAAAGCCAAGAAGAGGTATTGTAAATGCTTCAGGTCTGTCAATTATCTCATTCTATATAAGGTTCAGTTTGTAGCCATCTGATTTATCTGCTGTATTTTGTGTATAAAAGGTAGTTTTCACGCTCACATTGAGCCCTGAAACCAATGTCGCGTGTGTTGCGAGCAGCTCACACAACTCCAACCACAGTCTGTGTTTTGTCTTCCTTTTTGTTGAATAAAAGGCATCACCATTCGAAACAGAAGCCAAAATCTCAGCTGACTCTTGCCACAGACCAGAATTCAACAAAAACCCAATGAAATCCTCAATGTGGGAAGGATCATACTTCAAGTACCTCCTATAAACCCTCAATGATGTCTCAATTGGGATACCTTTTTGTCTCACAAATACCAAATACATCTCCCAAATCCTGTCATGCTAAGTCACTGGCAATGCACAGAGTGCCCCATCAAACGTCCTACGAGTTCTAGTAATCAACTTCTTTTCTGCCAGGCTCTGCAAGTACATTATCCATATCCTGGGTTTTTTTGTGCATGGTAACAAGAGCTCTTTCAAACGTATTGTTGAGGGTTTCATATTGTGGGTCAGTAACAGGTAGACTTCGAACAAACTCAAGCCGTTCTGGCAAATACGCGTGCCATAGCTTGTAGCTACCAGGAAGAGCTTTGAGGGCACGTTCATAGACCACGAAACGCTTCTCGAATGGAGCCTGTGAATTTGCAATCAGATAACGCCACCACAATTTCAGACTAAACGGGTTGCGACAGAGCTCCTCCTCCTAAACGAGGTCATCTTGAGATGGGTAAAGTTCTTTTGAGATCGACATTACAGCAGCGAAACCCTAAAACCTTCTACAAATACCGACCTGAAAAGAAAACTGGAAAACAGCGATTCAATCCCTCCGGCACCTAGAGTTGCCGCAGCAAGCTCAATACTGCCAACTTCGTCACAAATCCGCCTTTCGCGAAGTAAGTCGGAGAACAACGTACTCCTTCTTCGGGTGGGTTTAGGAAAAATTGATCAGGCCCGGTAATACATGGGCCAGACCAGAGTCAGGACTCAGGAATATTGGGCCATGATTTTAAAATAAATTTACTATTTTATAGTCTAAAACTAAACTAACTACTTATTAAATAATAAATATTACTAAGAATTATTGGATAAGAGAGGGAGACCACCCCCAATAAAAGGGTTAATTCTATATAATAGTTTAAATAACTCTAATATTAAAGGTTTATTTTATTCAATAATTTAAATTATGTAATTTAATATATTTTAAATTACATAACATATATTTTTTAGTGTGATATTGTGATTATTGCCACCCACTAACATATTTGGACTCACATGAATATTCTTTTTTCTTAAATAACTAATTATTGTATTTAAATACTTCATTCTATTATTAATAAATAAAAGAGGTGTTTGTTGTGAATTTATGAAAACAGATGCAATTAGATATTTATTATCAATTATTAACTATTTAAAAAAATTAATTTAAATAGCCTAAAATATTAAGAGAAAAATATATATTAATTTTGACTTTTAAAATAAATTAGATTTCTAACTTTAAATTACTATATCGTTTTATTTAATTAAAATATAATTCAAATTTTAAAATTTTATTTTATTAAATATTGATATTTAGATTTAAAATTTGATTATATTAAAATATATAATTATTTTTTAAATTTAGATATTAATATTTAATAGAGTTAATTTTTAAATTTTAAATTAAAATTTTTAGTTTTAAATATAAATTAAGACTCTAATGAATCTTAATATACATGTCATGTTCTAGTGACTAAGGCTTTTAAGGCCTAACCGCCTAAGCCTCCCTCCTATTTAGGGGATCAAACAGATTGCCAACACACCTTAGCTCCCTTCACACTATCAATAGAATTATTCCATAGGAAAGCATTGCAAAGTCGTTCAATTTCCTTGATCACTTTTTTAGGCAAAATAAAAGTTGAGCACCAAAGGTTGTGACTCCTTGAATAACTAAGGAAATTAATTACAATTGCCCAGCAAAAGAGAGGTGTTTTGATTTCCCAAAATTCATTATGTCTATGATCTTAGATACCAATGGCTTTAGGTCTTTTCTTGTTAGTCTTCCTATGATTAAAGGTACTCCTAGGTACCTGACAAGGAGTGTGCCAATCTTGAATCCATAAATTGAGTTAAAGTGTTGAACTTCACTTGTAGGAATTCCACAACGAAAAAGTTTTGACTTTTCATAATTTACCTTCAAATCAAAAACATAATAGAAGCTTTTCAAAGTGTCATCAATTGTAGCTAAAGATGATGCCTTTTCATCTATAAAAATGATAAGGTCATCTGCAAAGCAAAGGTGGGTGAGTTTAACCTTTGCACATTTAGGGTGGTAGGCAAACTATTCTTCTAGTGTAGCTTTATTAAGCATTCTGGAGAGAACTTCCATGCATATAACAAAGATATATGGTGACAAAGGGTCACCTTGCCTGATACATTTTTCCTCAGGAAGATATCCTACAAGATTCCCATTGAAAACCACAAAGAACTTTGGAGTAGTAATACAAGCAACCAACCAATTTATGAAAGGAGGGGGGAATCTGTTAAGGGGATGGATCCCAGCTATTGCTTTGGGTGTATAGGGCCTATTGTTTATTTGTTCCCCGAGGGGAGGCCTCCTTTAGGAGTTGAACTCGAGGTCTCCCTTAAGAGACTTTCGCGGGTGATCGTGGTACCACTTGAGCTGACACCCAAAGTGATAGGCGGGATCTGTCCCCCTAACATAAAGGCCTCAAGTGGTATCGCGTCACCCGCGAAAGTCTCTTAAGGGAGACCTCAAGTTCAACTCCTGGAAAGGCCTCCCCCTAGGGAACAAATAAACAATAGGCCTTAGCACCCAAGGCAATACGCCCAAAGCGATAGGTGGGATCCGTCCCCCTAACAGAATCCAAGAGTATTTGGAATTTGGAAAATAAAATCTCAACGGATAGAGTCAAAAGCTTTCATCAAATCAATCTAATAACTAGGAAACTCAAAGACACATAATAGCCAACTAATACCTAAAGAATAGGACAACAAAAATAGATAACTAAAGACTTGTTCAACAAGCACAACATGAACTGAGATGTTGCTTGTGGTAATGCTTTATTATTTCATGTGCTAGTAAAACATTCTCTACCATTAGTCTTTCTTTCACAAAAGTGGATTGATTGCAACTAATGAATAGGGGCAAACATTTCTTGAGTTTTTTAGCCAAAATCTTCATGATGAATTTATAAAGTAAATTGTAGCAGGAGATTGGCTTGAACTCAAACATTCTAGTAGGATTTCAAACCTTTGGAACTAAGTTTATTAACGTAGAGTTCAATTCTTTTTGTATTTTCCCAGTTGTAAAAAATTCATGAATAGCTTTTATCTCCAAGTCACCTACAACTGTCCAGGAGGCCTTAAAAAATTTTGATATGTAACCATCAAGCCCAAGTGCCTTATTTCTAGGGCTGTTGAACACAATAGCCTTAATTTCTGCTGCAGTCACTGGTTGCATAAGCAAAGTACATAGATCCTCTAGCAATTGGCATTGTAGCAAGTCTTTGAGCCATTGACTTCTTACCCTTCTACAATTCACATCTTTTGCTCCTAACAAAGTTTGGTAGAATTGTACAACCTCTGCCTCAATCTCTTCTTGTATGTTGTCTTCTTCCTAGTCCCTTGTATCCAAGCTCTCCATCTTATGACAAATCACGCTCCCTTCAAATTGTGAATAAGCATCAAATATTACACTAAAGTCCTTCAAAGTTACTACTTTTCACATACCCTCCCCAAAAATATCCCTAGCCTACTCAAACATACTTCTCCTAATATAATAATAAAAAAGCGAAGTCCATAACCTCCCTACCTCATCTGTAAACTTCCCCATACCACCTCTAATTATAGCATCCACATTGAGCACCGAAACCTCTGTCGCGTTTGTTGCGAGCAACTCACACAACTCCGACCATAGTCTGTGTTTTCTCTACCCTTTTATTGAATAAAAGGCATCATCATTCGAAACAGAAGCCAACACCTCAGCTGGCTCTTGCCACAGACCAGAATTCACTGAAAACCCAATGAAATCCTCAATGTGGGAAGGATCATACTTCAAGTACCTCCTATAAACCCCGAATGATGTCTGTTTCACAAATACCAAATACATCTCCCACATCCTATCATGCTGAGTCACTGGGGCAATGCACAGAGAGCCCTATCAAACGTCCCACGAGTTCTAGTAATCAACTTCTGTTCTACCAGGCTCTGCAAGTACATTATCCAT